TCGGGATAATACTAATTAGTTTTTATATGTTGGAAAACAGAACAGCAACAAAAATTATTTGTAAAGGACCTTGCAACTTTTTCTTAAATGTCCTTTTTCATGTTCAGCTTGACTTGCCCAATGCCTGTCTCTAATCTTGGGAATAGCCATCAAAATATTTGGGGGCATCAAAATATTTCCTCAAGAAATGGATGCAAGAGAACACTGTAGTGTGCTTACTGAATTCGTGTTTTAACACACACACACACATAAATCATTCATGTTTTAACACACACACACACACACACACACATAAATCATTCGTAGTTGTAAAATGAGGATTTAAACACAGAGACTCAGTCAATTCTCCCTTCTCGCGTCAAAAATGAAATCACCTAACAGCCAGGGTACTAAGACCTGACTTTGTCCTCTGCATTACCTTTCCTGCCCACATATGTGGGCTAGACCTGGTGCTGGCATGTGCACCATCTGGGTTTAGCACAAGAGGGAAAACTCAAATGTTTTATAGAGGTTTACAAAAATTTACATGGGACAGACCCTACTCTCCCCAAAGTAAAGAGTCACATGGGTTTTGTTTGTTAATACTCCCACAGTCAATCATGATATCTCTTACCAGCTGCTCAATCCTTCTGTGCAGTTACTCCACTCATGGTCAATTACGGAATTATTTAGCATTTGTAGACCATTCTAAAACCAATTTATTCACACCTAACTTTCAACTGTTTGTGATTAATTTGGTCCAATGCATTTTGCTGCTGCTGTTGTTGATTTATTGTCAGCTCAGGCTTATAGGTACAGCAATTGATTTGTCTTAGCTCTTCTTTGTCTTTCATGCCCTAATTTTCAATTAATGCCTATTCGTTAGTGCTTTCTTTCCATTAAAAATCCACAACCTTTTCTGTTGGTGACTTTTACTGGTTTGCAATAAAGAAGGGTCTGCTTTTTATATGTCTGACAGTCCTGATTCTGTATTCCTACTGGCAGAAATAACTAAGCATGTGACACTACCTTTGTACTACTGATGGATGTTGTATGACATATGTCAAAGCTAGAGATCTAGAGAAAGGGAGGCACTCTGTTTAATACCTACACATAATAGTAATACAATGTAACAGGAAGAGTGGACCTCTGCACCTATCTACATTTTTTTTTCCCTCCCTTTTTTCTTCTCTGCTCCCCTTTTTGTTTAATTGCAGCCCTAGATTATGTGCAGCACTCTTGCCTGGATACTGTGCAGAGAACAAAGGCTAACGAAAGCTAGATGAGAATTCTCAAAAACACAATGGAGTTAAAATTGCATGGTAAGAATAAAACCATATGTTTAGGAAAATGAAAAGAAATAAATGCCCAAATAGCTCAGTCTCGTAGTCAAATGGATACTTCAGCTATTCTTAGGTACTTGTCCATTACTACTCATTGCAGCAAACAGAAGGTTACATGAACTTTGGATTTTTCTAGTTTGTTGTTTTGTTTTAGGTTTGTTTTTTTTTTTAATTATTTTTTCTGGTAACATTAACATTTGGGACAGTTAAATGATACTACTTTTTGCAGATTAGTAATACCTCTTCCAGGAAACTATGTCTCTACTGGTGCACAGTAACTTTACCTAGATTCTGACCTCTTAAATTTACCCAATACAAAAAGCTAAAACCACACTTTGTGCAGCAAAAATTCCTTGCTCGATCCTGAAAGGAAAGAGGCCTAAGAGCTCTTCTGACAGGTCACCAGAAGGAGTGGAGATAGGGCTGCATTCTCAGTACAGTAACTGAAAGGGACAGCTAAATTATAGATGCCTTGGATAAACATCAAGATGAGCTCTTATTCTCTTCCGAAGATCAACAAGAGACCATCAGGCATTCTCTGTCAGTAGAAGCTACAGGATCAAAACACAGTTTAAGGTGTTAATTAGAAACTAGAACAACAAAGCACAGAAGCTCCTTTCAGTCTTGGTACCACTGCATCCTCTAGGAGCTCTGCCACTGATTTCAACAAGAGCAATATATCAGGTAATTATAATGCCTGTGGCTTACAGAGCCCTCTACCTTGACTAGTAAAGCTCCTCAAAGTGAAACACTTCAGGGACATCTCTACAGTCTCCTTCTACAAAAGAATTTATTTTATAGTTATAGTTGTAAACAGTTAACTGTTTACAGTTAGCATGGAGTTAAAAAGCAACAAACAAAACCAACAAAACAAACAAACAAAACTCAGAAAATACCACAAACAAAAAAAAAGCACACTAAAATTAAAGAGTTGAAAACAAACATGTCAAGGGCCTTAAATCATTTTGTACTGGTCTGTAAAACTTCACAGGAGCAAAAGAGACATTACCTATGTTAAACTATAGCATTATTACTACCTCACATATAGCCCTGCAGTAGGAAAGAACCTTATTCAGAGCAGCTTTTAAGCATAAAATATTCTTAAGGTTAAGAATAAACCCCATCATTGACTTGGACAGAAACTAGAAAGATTCGTAAAGCTAACTGTGGTTTTAAGCACTCCCTTAAATTCATGGTTTATTAAGCAGACTCTGCTCAGTGATTTTCTTATGAGTGCTACCAAGATGTATACAGGCACCTATGTTTCATGATATGGCTAATGTACGTTAGCCATAACAAAGATGGGGACATTATCAAATATTAAAAAAATTCAGGGTAAGTTGGCAACACAGGTAAACCTGTAACATAAGTAAAACGGGCTTTATTTATGTGAGGACATTTAAGGAAAATCTGACTCAAGAAGGGACAAAATAGTGCTATTGGCAGTACATTGACACTCCCATGCTTATATTCCTGTGCTTTCATTTTGCCAATCTCAGACAAAGGCAAACCCCCCCAAAAAATTAAGCAAATGCTTTTATTTTCATTTTAATTATAGTTAGTAAATTTGAAATGTTATGTACCCAAGGACTATGCAGCATAGACTGTAGTAATATGACCTTCCTTTAATTTTCTTTTTTTGCCAGAGAAGAACAGATGAAACAGCAAAGTTTGAATGGAGCTCCAGTAAAATTTCTGGTAAAGCAATTAAGAAGTAAACCAGGTAATTGTCTCACAATACAGTAAGAATTCTGTAGTGCAGGCTCTACAAAACAGAGAAAACAAACTCCTTGGCCCTACAGTCACTACAGCTGTTGGCTTTATGGCCCTGGATAAAATGTGAATGTTCATAGAGATTGTAGGTCTTATCTGCGAGCTTCAGTACAGACCTTTTGTTACAGCCTGCCCATAAAGCATATAGATGGATACATAACGGGTGTAGATGGATACATAATGGCTTCACACATTATCAAAACAAACTCATACACCTGCACAGTCTTTGTGTCTAACATCAAATAACTTTAAATAGCTAGGTGTCATGAGAAAAACAAACAAAAAAAGGACAAAACCCCAAAACAAACAAACAAACAAAAAAACCCAAACAAAACACCAAACCAACTCTGGAAGCATATCTGGGTGATACATACACCTAAGAATGGAAAAACTGCAAAACCGAGAGACCTCACTGGGAGGCTGAATTTAGGACTGAATTTACAAAGGGACTCGAGTGAAGACCACAGAGCAATTTCCAGGTTCAGTGACATGTTGTATGTGGATACTTCCAAAATCCTTCATTAGCTATAAAATATATGGCAGAATAACCTGTGCAAAATTACGGCTCTAGTAGAAAGGGATGAAGTGTGGGTAAGTGTTCATAAATCAGATGTAGAAATGAAAATTAAAATTGTAAATTTTAACTTGTCACATCTAGATTTACAAAAGCTATCAAAATACAGCTACCTTTTTTCACTGGGCTGGTTTAACCTTCCACTTTAAAGAAAAAAGGAAAGGATGCAAGTACATTTTCCTTTAGGATTTGTTTAAATTAAAATAACAACCTCTGTATCTACATCTTTATATTTGTAATTTACTACAAAATTCCTAATTTCTCATTACTACAAGTATGAATGTGAAAATAAATAATAATAACAACCAAAAACAGTTTGTTTCAGACCTGATGTAATGGTTCCTATGGAGTCATTAACTTGCATTATTTCCATAAATTCAGCCTCCATGCAATGAACTCTTTATGAAAGGGCATTTAATTGCCTGATAAGATATAATGGCTCCTTTGCATCAATAATAAAATCAATAATCTGCATTTTTTAAACCTCTCTGAATATCCATTGACACAATAGGTTTTTGCAGTCCACAGTCCTTCAGGTCCATTGGAACACTAATATAAAAGGGTTGAAGCTATTAAATATACATTTAACATGATAGAATATTATGAGTCTATTCGAGCTCAATGCCGTAAAACTATACCTCTAAAAATCCTCCTCAGTAAAGTAATTTATGACATAAAATATGTTTATTAAAACTCCCTGAATACAGATTTATGTTATTTTATGTGAAGACTGCAATTGAATATGCTTCAGGACCAGTCCTGCAAATGCTTTCCATGAAGTTCAGAGCTTATTACCTACCTAATCCCTCTTGGAGTCAATTGGAATACTCCCAAGGGTAAAGTTACTCATAGTCATTCGTATTTGTAGCTTCAAACTTGTTTCAACAGCTCTGCCTCTGATTCACTGTGTGATCTAGCAACTCATTTGATTAGCTATGCTTATCTGACAAAGGGAACCATTTAGTGGGTAAACTGTAAGATAAACTGTATTTTTGCTATGTAGTTAGATGCACAGCACTACAGGTACTAATTGTTACTATTACTGCTTTTATTAATCAGCTATATCAGTGGTACAAGTGGTACAAGTGGACCAAGTAAAGAAAGAAAAATGTTCTCAGATGAAAATACTTTGGGATATACCTCTAAAAAATTAAGTGTGCCTCCTACTCTATGCCAAAAACCCCTTCCTAAGAATAAAAAAATAAAATAAAATTAAAAAAATCAGCCATGCAGGGCTGTTTATAGAATATTTGTTAAAAAATATTGCTTTTCTAATGAAAATGGTTATAAAATTTTATTAAAAAATTTTCCCACCTGCCTATATCACTTATCCACATATCTCTGGATTTTCCCAAATGTCACTTCCTCCATGCCACTGGAGGAATGGGTTATCACTGTACCTAGGAAAGAGCAAGAGCTATTAAAGAACTGCATAATACTGTTTTCATTTCTATGCTTGTATAAGCTGTGGGAGTGATGATTTTTACATTAATTTCAGATATAGCTTTGAACATATACTAAAGGAAATGATACATTCTCACCAGTTTGCTTCACAGTAAATTAATGAAGAGCTTATTCTCAGCTAAGCTCACAAGCTAGCTAACAAGGTACAGTTTGCCATGCAGGCACGGAATGGTCCCACTTAGTCATTTGTGAATGACATCACTGTCTAAGCATTCAGAAGGTTAACCAACAATTTTCATGGAGGAATGCTAATCTTTTAATATCCCTTCCATAGGATATTAAAACTGCTCAAGGAAACTGTTTGTAGGTGAAATACTGGAGTGAAGAATGAAGAAATAAATCTGGCTAGATCTCCCCACTGTAACAGCAGAGGATTTACATATGTTTGTAGGATTTTGCTCATTCTAAAATAGAATTCTTCAGTGATACAGAAATCTGCTTAAGTACTGAGGCCCAACTACAGGGCTGTGCCACCACGTTAGCAGGTTGATGTAAGGGATAGCAGGATGACAGTGATTTTTGAGCTCACTGAAGCATATACCAACATACACTATACTTCTTTTTCTAGATACCTGTCTTGAACCCTGTTTCTGTGCTGTGAGAACATAGGCGATAATTATTACAGGGCTTACAAAGCAAAACAAGACAAAAAAGCAACAGTGTTAGTACGTCACACTTCAGTAGCAAGCTTTTTACTACTGGAGAAAATCAGACAATGAATCTTGCTCATTCTGGAGTCCTCATTACATTGTTTGATTTCTGGGGGGTTGTCAGCACCAGGCAACAACAAAAATATCGCACCCAGCTAACGGAATTTATCCAAGTCTTGGTTACAACATGAAAAAAATGGTTTTGATAATATAGCCTCCTTACAAATATTTTGCACTTCTATTGGTTCCATTCTGAATGAATATGACTTCTCCCCATTAGTAACTTATTAATAACAAATAAGAAATTTTGAAAATCTAATGCTGCAGACCTTAAGATTAGACTTTATTTTAACAGAAGAATATCTTCAGTTGTGGTACACAAACAACTCTATTGACTGATTTATAGTGCAGTGGCTAGACTGTTCTGTCTGGAACTGACATCCCTATAGTAGTGGTTGGATAAATATTATCACTGAAAGCAGTGCTATTGTATAGCCCAGCCTGCACAGGACTATTTTCTTATGAAAGACCCATCTAATCTATGTGCTTCAACACCCTCCCCCCCTCAAAAAAAAAAAAAATCTCCAGTCTTTCTATATTCATAGCTTGTCTTTCCCTTCAAAGCCCTGAGTTGATTCATCATAAAAAAGTACCATATTACCATAAGCTAGGAAAGGATTTTCAAAGAATTGTGCTACCAGCTGATAAAGGATTTGGGAGACTGTAAATCCTGTATTATTTGTGTAATACACTCTACATGAAAAGCAGGGTTAACATACAGTTCAGCCCAGGCATATACCATAATAAAATATTTGCCTTTAGGTAAAGACAAGAACTAAAGGAAGACCTTCAAGGGTTGAATGGTTCTAGTCACAAGCCAACATCTATTAGGACTAGCAGTAAGAGTTGCACAACAGCCCCCAAAATAAACAAAACAAACAAAAATATTCCCATCATTTGTTTTTAAGTGAAATCTAAAATGGCAAATGAGTTTGTTAGCAATGTAGGTCTGACTGCCTAGGTGTAAAGACATTGCTGTGGATGACAGTTGAAGTTACTGTGCTCGCTTCCATTTTCAAAATTTTCTGCTGACTCCGCTTTGAGAGGTGAAGCTGTAAAGAGGGATTTTCAATTATGGGAGACTTATGTGGCTGGCCAGCAATTAGTACCACCTTGGATCTAACCACTGTACTAGTGACCCAAACCAGAAGTGTCTCTCCCTGACCTTAGGCACCTGACACGTTACTGACTGCACATTCATAACAAATAAGGGGACCCCAGAGCACTTGTTAATCAGGCACTTATTTTAAAGCTGCTATAAACTTTTCCATAAACTTAGCTGTACTATGTACATAGATCTCAGTAGATCCATGTGTGGGATTAAACTCTGGTCTTTGAAACATGAGCCTTGGAATATATTCAGTGCCAGATATGATGAGCTTTCTGGTAGATAGATAGATTTATTTCAGTGACTAGGAGGAAAAAATACATTATCAAGTGGTTCAAATTGTATCTCTTATTTTCCCTGCTAATCCTTGTGCTATCTTTCAGAAGTGAGAAATCTTACAAGAAGAAGATATAAAATTTATATATTGTATACCTGTCCTTTCATTATACTAATTATAAAATTTGCCAATTCTTACATTAAAGCTACAAAACTACATTTACATTTACATTTAGGAATCTAAGGCACAGAGTCTTTGAAATGAGGTGGGGGCTTTTTTGTTTGCCTTTTTTCAACCCTCACCAGTGAAAACACTTGGGAAAAAATTAATTCCCCCAATGATCAAGTTTTGCATAATAAAATAAGAATTTACTGTAGACTTCACCTCAGAAGAGTAATGGTGTACTGATGTTTTAATAGGAGAGAGATGAGTAAGAGGGGTGTGTATGTGGGTGAACACTTCAAAAAACCATCAAAAAAAGTGCTCAAAAGAAAGATGGAGTGTTCCAAATTGCACTGAAATTGCCCTGAATCTCCACATTCATCCGACAGACTTTGGGAGGAGGGGATGAGAGAAGGTGGTGTACTTTATTTGATTGAGCTGGCATTTTAAAGGCAAAATAACTAAAGTACTTCTGAAGTACTTAAAATAATGTTTGTGGAGCTCAGGTTTACTGATCAGTATGACTCAGATCTTGTGAAAGCTCTGTAGAAAATGTCGTTTAGGATTTCAGAGGAAACACAGAGGGATTTGTCCGGTAATGCAAGCCCAGATGAAGGTTACTTTTCTACAGGCCTGGAAACCTTAATTTGTCTGTCTAAAGGGGAAAAGATGCAAGCATTTGATGGAAGGCTCATTTATACAGAAAAAAAATTATTTAAACCAGAAAATTCCCTTATTCATCAGCTACTAGGACAGCATACAAAAGGTAACGTTTCTACCCAATTTGTTATCTTGAACCTGGTTTGAAGCAATTTTTCCTGAAAATTCAGGAATACTTCAACATAGCAGCTGAAGACACAAGCTCCCTCCTGCCCCAAATCGTAAAAGTTAGAGAATCACAGAATCATGGAATAATTTAGGTTGGAAAAACCTTTTAAGATCATGAAGTCCACCTAGCACTGACAAGTCCACCAACTAAACCATGTTCCAAAGTGCCACATCAATGTAGCTTTTAAATACCTGCAGGGATGGTGACCCAACTGCTTCCCCAGGCAGCCAGTTGCAGGTCTTGACAACTCTTCTGGGGAAGAATTTTTTTCCTAATATCCAATTTAAATCACTTCTGATACAAGTTGAGGCCATTTTCTTCGATTCTGTAGCTTATTACTTGGGAGAAGGGACCAGCAACACCTGCCTTGCTAAACCCTTCTTTCAGGTAATCATAGAGAGCAGTAAGATCTCCCCTGAGCCTCCTTTTCTCCAGGCTATCCAAATTTCCTCAGCTGGTCCTCGAAAGACTTGTGTTCCAGACCCTTCACCACCTTCTTTGCCCTTCTTTGGGTGCACTACAGCACCTCAATATCTTTCTTGTAGCGAGGTACTCAAAACTGAGCACAATATTTGAGGTGTGGTCTCACCAGGGCTGAATACAAGGGGTTGGTCACTTGCCTAGTCCTGCTGGCCACATTATTTCTGATAAAAGCCAGGATGCAATTGGTCGTCTTGGCCACCTGGCCACACTGCTGGCTCTTATTCATCTGTCTGTCACCTAGCATCCCTAGGTCCTTTTTCCACAAGGCAGCTTTCCATCCACTCTTCCCCAGGCCTGTAGCATTGCATGGAGTTGTTGTGACCCAGGTGGAGGTCTTTGCCTTGCTGAACCTCATACAACCGGCCACAGCCAGCCTGTCCAGATCCCTCTGCAGACTCTTTGTACCCTCAGGAAGATGAACACTCTCACCCAACTTGGTGACATTTGCTAATTTACAGAGGGTGCACAAAATCCCCTCATCCAGATCTCTGATACAGAACTTGCACCAATACTGAACCCTGGGGAACAACACTTATGACCATCACCAACTTCATTCACCACAAGTCTTTGGGCTCAGCTATCCAGCCAGCTTTACATTCAGCAAAGGCTACACCCATTCAAGCCATGAGCAACCAGTTTCTACAGCAGGAAAATGCTGTGGGAAATGATGTCAAAGGCTTTACTAAAGTCCAGGTAGACAACATCCATAGACTCTTCCTCATGCACTAAGCAGGTCACCTTCTCACAGGAGATCAGGTTAGCCAGGCAGGACCTGCCTTTCATAAACCCATACCTACTGGGCCTGGTCACATGGCTGTACTGTACATGCCGCAGGATAGCACTCAAGATGATCTGCTCCGTAACCTTTCCTAGCACCCAAGATCAGACTGACAGGTCTATAGCTCCCCGGATCCTCCTTCCAGCCACTCTTGTAGCCAGGCATCACATCTGCTAACTTCCAGTCAACTGAGACCTGCCTGCTGAGCCAGGACTGCTGATAAATAAAAATGGCTGTGACCCCTTCCACCGGTTCCCTCAGTACTCTTGGGTGGATCCTGTGTGGCCCCATAGACTTGTGTGTGTTTAAGTGGTACAGAAGGTCACTGACCACTTTCCCTTGGATTATGGGGGCTTCATTCTGCTCTCTGTCTTCCAGATCAGGGGGCTGGGTACCTAGAGAACAGCTGGTCTTACTATGAAAGACTAAAGCAAAGAAGGCATTAAGTACCTCAGACTTTCCCTGATCCTTTGTCACTGCTTCCCCTGGTGTCCGATAAGAGATGGAGATTCTCCTTACTTTAGAGGGGCTATAACTTCAAGAAACTGAAAATGTGAGGAGATAACAGTTTCTTTAATATGATCCTGTTGCAATTCAAAGAATCTCCTCTTACTCAGTAGAACCCCATTTAGGAATAAAAGGATTTATGCCTGCATCAGTCAGGAGAAACTGAGCATCATTAAGCAACAGAAGAAGAAAAAAAACTCATAACACCACAGGAGCTCTTGAAATTTCTGAATTTTCATGCATTTTTGGGGGCCAGAAATCGTTTGATTGTGAATATAGGTCACAACAAATATCACAGTACAACAACAATTTCTTGGTACTGTTCGTATGCTTCCTGGGTAAAGCTCTCCCCTTTCATGTTTTCATGTTTTTCTGGAGCCCTGTACTAATTTTACATATATACTAAGCTATAAAAACTAAGAAAGAAATGTATCATTTGCTGCTGATTTATATGTTGGAAATGTTGGAGCATGGATTTCATTTTTATGGTATTTCCAGCACCTAGAACTTTGCCAAAAGCTAAACCAGCAGTAAAATGAATATGGGGTTTGATTCTCCTTTTTACTCGCATTGATAAAACAAGGCATGTAATTCCTTTGACTTAGACAAGGTGTTCATTATTTACATTGACCTAAAAGGAAAGTGAACTACTATCAATCAGAAGAATCTGTATCAATAGCGAACATATGAAAGAACTCAACAGTGTATGACGGTCATATCTTACAAACCTGAAGATAACACGTGCAGTAGCTGGGAAAGGGTTAGATTTTGTT